TTCCTAAGCATGCCTTTTATGGTTCTCCTCAGTTAGATCAATAGACTATGATAAGGAAGGCCACAGGACTGAAAAGAGTCTACACATCCTGTACTTTGTCAAACATCTATTTTCTGTCATTAAGGAAGATGGTGGCTCAAAAATGAGGAAAGAAAGAAACATAAGAAACAATGTAGTTTAGCTCATTCTTCCAGCAAGTAGTCTTGATTCTGTCATTGTTAATATTTATGAAGCTGTATGAGGATCCGGCAGGCCCCAAGCAGTCACACTCACATACCGGGTCTGGGTTGAATCAGGATCCGCCAGGCGCCAGGCTGTCTCTTTCACATTTCAATATTTGTCTACATTTTTTATATGCTGTGTAATTATTGATTTTCAATAGTTAATGAAAAAAAAAAGATTTATGAAGCTGTAGTGGTCCTAAATTTATGCTCATGTCATGTATACTATCCAAAGAAAATACACCAGCTTCAAAGTATTAAAGTATACTCAACATTGTAAAAAATTACTCAACATTAAAAATTAAGCATAATTTATTCTTCTTCCTGGATATTATGTGAAAAATAAAGAAATCTGGCTGGAGAGTCAGAAAATCAGATTCTCTTTTTTATTTGTTTGTTTGTTTTGTTTTGTTTTTTTTTTTTTTTGTTGTTGTTGCTGCTGCTGCTGCTGCTGCTGTTTTGGTCATATCAGGCATCAAATTCCAGAACTTGAACTTGCTAGGCAGGTGTTTAAGTTGCTGAGCTATATCCTTGGCCCCTCTCTTGATCTCAAAAGTGAGTGGTCTAGAACAAGCTACTTAAAGTTTCTGGGACTCCACTTCCTTCACTGAAAAATGAGGGAGACATATTGGAAATCTTTAAAGACCCTCTTAAACTTGATTCAGACAATGAGACAGAATCCTGCTCAGTGCCTCTGGATTAGTATAGGACAACTACCATTACAATATGGAGTAAAAATAATTCCAGTTTGGGTGATTTTTCTGATGTTTACATCATGGTTAGGAGGAGTTTTCTATCCTTCAAAGGGCTTTACCCTAAGTATTTTGCTCTCTAATGAAAGCAAATCAGTTATTTTATACTACATAATTTACCTGACATTTACTGGGATAATCTGGAGTGAGATTTTTGTAGTGAGAACATGTCCTTATTTATATCATGATAAAATCTTTTGTCAAATGGATGGCAAAACACTAGCATGGGGAAAAGAGGAAAATCTTGATTAAAACGCTTATTATAGAAATAAATAATATCAGATTTTAGTCTTCAGTTTTGTAATTTTTCAATTTTCAGAATTAATTTTTAAAGCATTACTGTTATTTCTAAAATCCAATGATCTGGCATAGTGTACCAGTACCAATAAGTAATTAATAGTTTACTGCCAAAATATTAATATTGTACCAAGGGTAAAGAATTTGGTTCTGTTTTTAGTGTGCAGGAATACATCTTACTGGTTCTCACTTTGAGAATTGAGACAAAAGACTCATAACTTTGCTACCTCAATTTCAAACCAGATGGCAAGCATGTTGAATTGCAATTTAGAGAGGGAGTTTGTGGAGTACACTGTACAATTCTGGGAGTAGGATGAATAATTTCTTCAGCAGTCACATATGTACCTAGTAAGAAGCCAATGATTCCAGTGAATGCTAATAGAAATGTTTTTCAAGATCATCCATATATTGTAGTATTCCTTAGAAAATGTAACAATTTCAACCAAAGACAGCAATATCAAGGCCAACATGCTGCAGTTCACAGCCTCCACAAAGGAAATCACAATGTCTAAGCGAGGAATGAGAACTGCTCCAGCACAAAAAATGCTAACCACAAGGGACCTTATCCCAAATTTACAGATTTGCTTCCATTTTGCATGAAATCTGCATGTGATTCCAGGGATAATGATCTCTTCTGGATCATTAAATATGACTTAAATATGTCACAAAGGTGCCAGAGGAATACAGAATTTTCACTGATTGATACAACCGTACATTCCTGGGAGAGGTTAGAGTTATGCTGCCTTTCATTTCATCATGAAAACACATGTACCCTAAAGTAGCTACCCTAAAGCTGTGATGATGCCCACGCCGGTATTCAGTGCTTGAGGAAAGCGTTTTGATTCTTTCATTTGCTTATCCAGTGGAAGGACCATTCCTATGCCTTCAAAAGCAAATACCGCAGTACCAAAAAAGAGCGGGCATTTTTTCCAACAAGTCACTACCGGAAGGCTGCAGGGATCCCGCTTGTTCCTAACAACATATTGATAATTTATCACAAGACTGGAAGCCATGAAAACACTGGAAAAGAATGAAGTACAAACAGATTCTTTAGCTCACGAATGAAGACCAAAAGCATTATAAATGGAAGAAAGCAAAACATATATCCTTAGGTCAATGCTTCTTCTCTCACATGGAGTTGATGAATTGATACTATGCAAAATAAACACTTTACTCTCCAGGAATCCTCCGTGAACTTGTTTCACATTTTCAGCTAAGAAGACAATATAAATACTGAGGAATCCCAACTGCGTTATCACCAGAGAAAAGTCAGCCACGGTCCGTCCCTGTGCTGCTTGCTTCTGAAGACAACTACAAGGACTTTCTTCCATAGCAAGACTCACAGTGTCACTGTAACCTAGTGTCAGCTTTTTAAACCTCTGACATAGAAAGTGACTGCAACGTACCAATATGTGCATACAGTGAAATGAAATAATTCCTATAAGCACAAGGCTGATATGCCTGCATTTTTTATTTATTCCTAACAAGTCAGCTCCAAATATTTCCCTTAAGGTTCATAAGAATTTATACAAAAGAAATACCCTCCAGGTAATCCGACTGGTAATGCTTCTACACTGGCAGGAGCTCGGCCTCCTGCTGTTCATCTGGTGTCCCATCAAAGTTCTGCTCATTTATCAAGGGCTTCATTACATCCATATCAAGCTTCTCCAGCCTGGCCGCCCTGACAGGCACAGGCACCATCTCCATCTCTCATGAGACTCCAGGCCACCGCCATCTGGAGCTCTCCCGCCATAGCCTCCTCAGCCCCGAGAGACCCTGGCTCCTCTAGATTAAGATTTTAATTTTTAATATTTATTTTATAAAATGATTTTATCATTAAAATAGCAGGTTGTATAAAAGAGCATGAATTTGGCATCACTTTAATGTAAAATTAGAATCTTAATTGAAATACATGAAGCATAATTGGGACTCTAAAAATTATATCTTTGGGTAATCATCTTACAAGGCCTTTGGCATAAGTATCATGTGAAGATCAAGTCCATTCTTGCAGCTTCTGTTTGTACCAAGTAGGTGCTGATTGGTGAAAAAGGTCATGCAGTGCACTCGTGAGAACACAAAGTTCCAGACTCAGTATATATCCCATCATGTAGTTCACATAATGGCAACAAGTGCCAAGTATGGTGCAGATTTCTTCATTTATCTCACTCACCTGCATCCATGAAGGTGCTCTCTTGTACTGGAAAAAAAATTTACAAGAATACATCCACAACCTACATAGAATATCATTATAGGAAGTAAAATACTATTTAAATTTTTTATGCTTTCTGGCTTGGGCCACTTTTGAATTCTTAGCTGAAATATGCACTTGGTCTTGCAATGTATTTTATTATAAGACACATTGTCATCAATTTCCCTGAAAATATTTTCCTGCTTGATCAACCACATTTTTCCCACTATTCTTGTCACTTCCTGAAGCAATTCTGCACATTCCACTTGGTGTCTTTAGTTGAGGTGCTATGACTGCATTCATGTCCTGAATGACTGCAAAATATTTATTTTTCATTGTAATTTCAGGCAGAACCAGAAATTCCATGGTACCAGATACGTTTAATAGGTTGATTGAATGAATGACCTAATGTTTTATATTATAAGCCTGCTTTTCTGCTCGATGGCATTTAGCAGCAGCATTAGTTTTGTTTTTTTTATATATTTATTTATTTATTTATTTATTTGTTTATTTAGTGTGTGTGTGGCCAGCTCAGCCCACCAGGGGGCGGGCCTGGCTGGCATGTGGTGCTGGGGATTGAACCGCGGTCCCTGTGTTCTGCTTAGCTTAGCTTGTTCTAAGTAGGTGCTTTAGACCACTGAGCCATCTCACCAGCCCCAGCAGCATTAGTTTTGGTCACACCTGGTAAAGCTCACACTCTTGGAGAAGGACTTCTAAAACTGCTCCCGAAAGTGACCAGAGTGATGAGTGTGTTTGAGGCAAGAGGGAACATTCTGAGGATTAGTGGCAGTGCCTCTTTTACTGTAATAATTTTTGAAAATTAAACAGTCACCATATATTTTGGTCATCTTTTGTATACTGTACAATTTTTACAGTGAAAAATAAGCTTACCTGAAGCCAGATGGCTTTAGGAGATTCTGTAGAAGCAATGGGACTTAATATGTTAAGGTATGAGCATAAAATAACACACTGTCTAATGGAATATGATTTAGGAATTAGACCTAATTCCTGTGCATATATGAAGAAGAAAGATTTTTAAATAAATCTATATGTAAATTGTACTGATGTGGCATTAGGTTATGATAGTCATTAATGATCTTATACCTGTCTTGGTATATTCAACTGGTTACATCATGTACTTTCATTATCTAAAAATCAGCTTAGCATATTTTATTAAGCACCTTTATGGCTACATTTAAGTATTCTTGAGTCATATCAGAAAGATTATTTCCCCTCATTCTATTTCATTCCGGGCATTATCCTCATGCCTATTAAATAGATTGATTTTTCTTACATCAGATGGATGTTCAGTTCACCTACAGGGAAAATCTTAGTGTGAATGATAGATTTTCTTTTTAATCAATGGCCTTTAATTTGTAATGCCAAAAGCTTTCCTTAATTTATTTTCACATTAAGTATTTATCATGATAGATGAGATTTTAGTTATATAGTGTCCCATACAATATAAGGCAAAGAGGAGCTGTAACAAACTTTCATATATTTAATGAATTTAATAAAAAGTCTCTCTCTTTTCATTTCCAGACAGATGATATGTACTTGTTGTATGAAGTTAATGGGTTGCCACCAGAACCCTTATCACTGACGAATGTAAAACCAAAAGTTAATACCACTAACAAGATGTATCACAACATGATCATTCATCACCGCAATTTCATCCGTGAAAATGCTGAGCTCAAAATAACAGGGGTGTCTTCTACAATTAAGGGTGCTCCTTTGGTGATGAAGAGAAAATAAAAACTTCCAAACCATTTCTTTGTTTCATTTAGTATTAAATATTTTCATTATTGTTATTTTATGCTTTGAAATACTCCTGAAGCCTAATAACAAGTCTAGATTTTTTTGTCTTTTAAAAATGCTACCCTAACCAGTCTCTAAATATGTCATCCTTCATTTCTGAATTTTGTGTTTTTTAAAATGGATTTTGGTTCCTAATATTGGGGAAATCTTCACTTTTAAAGTACAGGAGTACATTTGTAGTAAAACTCGCACATGATTTTATTGATAACAATATTTCAAATATCAAACACAAGTCTTGCTATTAAAACTAAATGCATTGTGTGGATTTCACTTTCAAACATTTCTTAGATGACTTCTAAAATATTATATGTATTTATTGTTGTAAACATATATATGTATATATCAGCTAATAAGCACTAGATAACATGTGCTTTACCTATCTATTGTTTTTAAATGAAATAATCTTTAAAATGCCTGATCTTAGTCATTTTCAAATATATAATACATTCATATTAATTACTGTCATGATGTTGTACAGCAGATTCCTATAATTTATTCCTTCTGTGTAACTGAAATTTTATATTTCATATCCATTGATCAGTATCTCTACAATCTTCCCTGACTTATGTACCTGCTCACCAGTATTCTATTTTCTGTTTTTTTTCAGTTCACCTTTTTCATATTCTGCATATAAGTGAGGTTATATGGTAAACACCTTTCTGTTTGGCTTACTTCATTTTACATAACATCCTTCAGGTTCTTCCATATTGTCACAAATAACCTGATCTCCTTCTCTTTAAAGGCTGAATAGCATTTAATTATGAACATATTTCAAATACAGTTTTTTATTACAGCTTAATTGCTAAGTAAAAGTTCTTGTGAGTCCTTAAAATATTAATGATAAAACTAGCAAATAAAACAGAATGTTATACCATTTCTTACACCTGGTATTTGGAATATTATGTGCTATTTAGTAGGTAGTTAATTTAAATGTCGATGCATATATGTATATATCACCCATATGTTCCCATATTGCAGCCTTAAATAACATAGGTGTATCTCAAAATGATCTGGAAGAAAGTAAGTTATGTATCTGATCCTTAAGAAAGAGTAATTAATTGAAGTTAAAAAAGTATGTTGTTTAATAACTACCTTTGAGGAGAAATACTATAATAAATAGCCAATGTGACCAGATTTAAGATATTTTGATATAAATTGTTTGGCAGTAGTACATAAAAACTTTTCATAAGTAAGAGCATGCCATTTATTCTTTTTCTACTCAATTTCACTGTGTGAAAAATGAAGAAAATAAATAATGACAGGGGTTAGCAAGCTTTGGGCTGTGGGTGAAACCTAGCCTGTCACCTATTTTTGTACAGCCTATTAGCTGTAAATGATGTTTACATTTTATAAATATAAAAAAATCAGTAGAAGAATATTTGTAGCAGAACAAGTTAAAATTCAAAATTTACAGTTTTTTGAAACACAAAGCAGCCACTTGTTGTCTATATATGCATTTACACTTTAACAATGAATTTAAGTAAACAGAAAACATACAGATGAGAAATGTTTTTATTGTCTAGCTTTTTCTAAAAAATGCTGGTCAACTAATATATTAAGCCAAGAATGGCCTTCAGGAAACATGGGTCTATTAATTGTAATTTCCTCCATTCCTCTGGTAAGCAGAATTCTTGGAACACTTCTCTGGATTTCATTAATTAATGTTCTTTTTAGTTATTGAGGTAGCACAGAATCTGTATTTACTGCTCCTAGAATTGGCAACAGTTTGGAAATTTTTCTTTTTTTTTTTTTTTTTTTTTTTTGTAGAACCAG